TCGGTGTAAGTCTAGCTAGCTAGCCAGCTAGCTAACCAGCTAGCTAGTAAACTAGCTAGCTATCTCGCAGGCTAGTAAGCTAGCTGGGTAGCCACGTAGGTATCTGATTAGCTAGCCAGCTAGCTAGCCAACCAGCCAACAGCCTAGCTACCTAAATAGCTAGCTAGCTAGCTATAGCTAGCTAGCTAGCTATTTAGGTAGCTAGCTAGCTATAGCTAGATAGGTAGATACTTAGCTAGCCTGCCAGCGGGGGGAGAGCTGCTGCAGCAGGAAGCGGTGTTTGGGCTGCATGCTTTTCGTTTGCTGCTGCAGCAAATGATATGCCCCACAGGGGTGATGCAGCCTGAAGGAGGCGCTGCAGCTGGTGCTGCTGCTGCTGCTTCTTCTTCTTCTTCCGGAGAAGCAAACAAAGAGGCTGCAGCAGCAAAGGATGCAGATGGAGAAGCAGAAGCAAAACAAGAAGAGCAGCAGCAAGACAAAGGAGAAGATATGGAGGGAGACGACATTTAAACCCAGCAGCAAACCCCCTTACAACTTGCTGCAGTCAGCGGCTTGACCAGCAGCAACAGAACGCACAGCAGCAGCAGCAGCAGCAACAGCAGCGACCCGTAGCCTGCTGCTGCATTTATGGCTGCTGCACTAGCAGCAGCTCTAGCGGCAGCAGCTCTAGCAGCAGCTTTGCCAGCAGTAGCTTTTAGCAGCAGCTGCTGCAGCAGCTTTAGCAGCAGCAGCAGCAGTAGCTTTAGCAGCAGCAGCTTTAGCAGTAGCAGCAGCTGCTGCTGATGGCGTGTGCGCGGTGGTTTGTGCAGCCGACGGTTCCGTCTTTTCTTTGCAGGACTGCCAAACCCTAAACCCTAAACCCTAAAACCCTCTTTACTAAACCCTAGCAATAAACCCTGGTAGCAAACCCTAGGAAACTTCAATGCCAAACCCTAATAAACCCTATTAACCCTACAGCTGCACGCTAGCAGTAAACCCTACTCGTATAACCCAGCAAACCCTAATAAACCTAACCTAAACCCTAAACCCTAATCGTAAACCCTAGCATTAAAACCCTAGTAGTACACCTTAATAATCCCTATCAACCCTACTAGTAAAGCCTGGCAGCAAGCCCTAACAGTAAACCCTAACAGCAAACCCTAGCAGCAAACCCTAGCAGCAAACCCTAACAGCAAACCCTAACAGTAGAACTGTAAAGCCTCTGTCCGTCTTTGCGGGGGCAGCTCCTCGCCTTGTTGGTTTCTTTCTTTTAGTAGCTGCTCAGCCTGAAGGCCCAGCAGCTAGAAGATGGCTAGCTGGCCCAGCTAGCCAAGCAACTAGCTAGCTACACGACTAGCTAGCTGCTCCGCAGTCAGCTAACTACGCTATACAATACCACAAAGAAAAACATTAGCTGCCGACCGAAGCTGACCCCTGCAAGGCTGAGAGCTGCATGCTACTAGCTAGCTAACAGATAGCTAGAAGCTAGCTAGTAGAGCTAGCTGGCTAGCAGCTGCTGGCTAGCTGGCCAGCAGCTAATTCACAACTAGCTAGCAGCTAGCTAGCTAGTAGCTAGCTGGCGCGGCCGAGTTCATACGGGCCTGCCGCTAGCTAGCTGGCTAGCTACATGGCTAGCTAGCTAGCTAGCCATGTAGCTAGCTAGCTAGCTACAGAAAAGGCTTGTGGGGAGAGTGCTGCTGCGGCAGCAGAAGGGGGGTCTCGGGTCGGTGTAGCGGCAGCAGCAAAGGCGCTCATTGTCCCGGCCTGCTGCTGCTGCTGCTGCTGCTGCTGATGCTGCTGGCTCTAAGCGAAAACATGTCCCCAATGGTTGGGGCCCACGGAGGCCCCATCTTCTTTGTGCAGCACAAGTTGCTGGTTCGCTAGCTCATGCTGCAGCAGCACCTGCTGCTGCGCCATATGCTGCAGCAGCAGCTCCTGCTGCTCTTGTCTCTGCTCCTGCTCCTGCTGCTGCTCCTGCTGTTGCTGCTGCTGCTCCACTTCGAAGCCGTTTAGGCCTCGCCGCCTCATGACCCGCACTGCGCGGTGTACGTACTGCAAACAGCAGCAACAGCAGCAGCAAGAATAGCAGCAACAGCAACAGCAGCAACAGCAGCAGCAACAGCACCCCAAAACTCTGACCTCCTTAGCAATAACTGCAGCAGCAGAAATAGCAGCAAAAAACTGGAGGAGAAACAGCCCACCACCAAATCCGGCACCAGCAGCAGCAGCGGCAACCACTGCAGCAGCAGCAGCAGCAACCACTACAGCAGCAGTAACCACTGCAGCAGCAGCATCAGCAGCATCGCACCCTCGCTGCATAAAAGTCGTCGCTGTCAGTCATGTTTCCCGCTGTCTTACTGCGTCGCTGTGAAAGGTCTGCTGCTGCTGCTGCTGCCGTTTCTGCTGCTGCCGTTTCTGCTGCTGCTGTTGCTGCTGCTGTGGCTGTCTCAGCGGTCAAATCCACGTCGCCGAGATTCTCGCAGTGTTCGCTGCATTCGTATGCAGCAGCAGCAGCAGCTGCTGCTGCTGCTGCTGCTTCGTAGCTGCTTCCGCCGCTGCACTCGACCTCCGCTGCTTCTGGTGGTGCTCCGCCGTAGAAGCTGCTGCTGCTGCTGCTGCTGCTGCTGCCGCTGTCGTCGAGAATAGTGTGGGGCTGGTGCACCAGCCGCCCAATCTTGATTAATTCATCCCGCCACTCCTTTGGGTCCCGCGGCAGAGCATTGCTGCTGCTGCTGTCGCTGCTGCTGCTGTTGCTGCTGCTGCTGGAGTCACTGAAAGCAGCGCCGCTATAAGGATCTTC